CTGGGGAGGAGGGTGGAGAAAACAGTGCAACAATGAATGAATGAAAACCCAAAATCTCTGTAAATGTTCATTAAAACTAATAAAATTAAAAAAATTAAAATGATGCTTATTTTGGCCATATCAATATCATAGAGCATCTTCACAGCCTGTTTGATGACCCTGACAGCCACAGTAAACATAAATGTTTTATCTTCTAGCTTCTTCATGTGGTTGGGGGAACCTGATGATGACAGAGTGGTCAAGTTTCTTTCTCCTGGGCCAGCTCTTCTGGGGTGTTTGGGCTGTCCAACACCCCAGAATATTGGGAAAACAGAAGATGGGTGATGTGAGTCTTTTTTCTGTTGCCAGGGTTGCCCCTTAGCTCTGGTTTCAGTTTTGGAAGGAGGGGGTTCTTCTCTACTTGTGGCATCACCTTTGTGAAAGGGTAAATTGTACTCTTTATGAAGACATACTGCTATATCTTTCTCTAATGGAGCAGCTGCTGGTGAGTTTTATTTAGCATTCAAAAGTTTAAACCACTGTGCCACCATGGTTTCTCATAGATATGTACCCAAGGAAAAGAAAACATCGACACAGAAAAGCTTGTACACAAATTTAACAGCACCATTACTCACAACAGTTAAAAAATGAAAACAATCCAAGTATCCATCAACTGATGGATCAACTAAATGTGGTATATCCACTGAATGAGATATTTTTTGCAATATAAAGAAATATATTACTAATACAAGCTATATAATATGGATGAAACTTTAAAACATGCTAAATGGAAGAAGCCAGTCAAAAAAAGCCACATATTATATGATCCCATCTATATGAAAAGTTCAGACCAGGAAACTCTAGAGAGACAAAGTAGATTAGTGGTAGTGTAGGGCAAGAATAGGGTGGTGGGAAACAGGGAGTATTTGTTAATGGGCACAGGAGATTCTTTGTGAGGTGATGAAAACACTCTAACATTTATTGTAGCAATGCTCGGACAATTGTGTGGACATGCAAAAACCCACTGAATTGTACAATTGAAATCAGTAAGCTCAATGGTGTGTGAATTATATCACAGTAATGTTGCTAAAAAATAATATAAGTTTTATTTTATTTAAAGGCTGAATCAAGGATACAATTACAATATTTTTTTTACTCTGCTGGATAATCAATTTGGTAAATAACCAGTCAATCTTGTCACATAGGTTAATTTTGATTCTTGTTTTCAATGACCTTTTTAGAGATATAACCAAAGTTAAATATCATTAACCATTAAACATCATTTAACATCAGGAACAGGAGAAGTAATTGCTCAGGTTTAAATTTAATTCATCATAGTATACCTCTGCAAATTTTATGTCAGAAAATGTTGTAAAGAAATACCAAATTCATACAATTCAGCCATTTTTATGTCATTTTTCAGGCATGCAATTCACCACATTATTTAAAAACAGAATAATAAGGCAGGACTTTATTACTTTGCCTTCTAATCACTTTCTGAAATGTCACAATTATTTGACATAAAATATGCTTAAATGACAGATGGTTTATTAGGTTTTTCTCAATAAAAATCTCTACATGTAAATTAAAAACTTCTGCATGCCATGTCAGTGAATCAAGAAAGAGGAAATGAATAAAAATATGATAAACAATTTTAAGGGGAAAATGTGTACCAAATTTCGAGTCTTCTCCTCTCCAATTATTATACACAATTAAGGGAGCTATAGCAATGCATGGTCACTGATGCTCAAGAACTAGGTTCATCACTTATTCTGCTTTGTCCAGATACTTTAAATTCTATCAACTGAAAGATACAGCGTTAGATGGATGAGAAGCAGAATTATATAAAAGATTTCTCATGACCTCTTCTGGATCACAACAAAGTTAAGTGGAAGGTGACTGGCCTGACTGGCCATGTTCTAAAGCAACAAGCTCCAGGGGGCTCACAGCACAGAGAGCCATCTGGAAGCCAACGTTCAGTCTCGGTCTCAAGTCTGAGACTGCCATTCTGGCCAGGACAAATTACAGGGACAGCTATTCTGGGGTAGCTCTTCTTTCCAGAGTTATACATCCAAGACACCTTAACTGTTTTTCCCACATAACCTCTCAAGACTGATTTTAAATAAGGACTGCTATTACTACTAGTTGATTTCAAGCTACTGTTTCAAATTTTTCAACACTCTTTGGTTCTCAGAAGCAAAATTATGAAGGGCAATTCGAAGAGCCGAGTTTCCTTCAGGAATATCACAGGAACTCAACACTGAATGAAGTGCCCGAGAATATGCTGCAAATAAAGACAGATAGGGTGATGAGTGAAATCACATTCTAAACAACTTGCCCCATTGTGTTCCTCTGTCAGTAATTCTTCTCGACCCAGAATTCCTTAAGTACTAACTAAATATAACTATCCATTGAAAAAATACTTACTGAGTACTTACTACACACCAAGCACTCTGTGAGGGCAGAGAAGATATTGGAGAAGATAGATACAAAAAGAATTAAATTGCAGTGTACAACTTGAATCAGATATATCATAGAATGCAGCTGGGAATGAATGAATGAATTAATGAATGACCAAGAGAGTATTCTAGGGTTTCTAGTAATGGTAACACTTAAGACAGGTCTTGAAGAAGAGTGAAAGAATAGCATACATTCTAGTCAGAGAAATGAATGTGTGAAGAGAGTAGCATGCTTGTTAAGTCGGGAGTGTGACCTGAGGCCAAATGAAAAACAAGCCTTTATAAGCACTCTGTACTTAGTAATGAAAAACCCAAGAAGCTTTAGAAGAAGGGAATGGCATGACCAGATTTGGGTTTTTTAAAACTAAAACTCACAGGAATGGCAAGTAGCTCAGATCATACAGATGGGGCACTAGAGATACTGATATTGGAAACATTTAATCTTTGGACTATTAAATCCAAACATTTAAAAGGACAGTGGAAATAAAGATTACAGATAATAAGAAGGGGTCTGTTTTCTCCTGCTAGGACTGAAGGTAAAGATTCCGTTTCTCAGAATCTCCTCATAGACCTCATAGTCTACTGTAGATTTATGTGGAAATAAATCTGCCTTAAGTAAGTCTTTGGATATCAGGGAATTCAAGACAATGGAGCCTTTGCTTAGATAGCCATAAGAGGCAAGTTCTAATATTCTTTAGTTAAAGCAGGATCTAGAACCCATGTCCCCCTAAAGTGGCATAAGACTGAATTCTTTCTCAAGCATAAATGTAGAAGATATCAAAGTGAAAAGCAAGTATTTTATTGTCTCATAGGGTTTTATATGTGTTATAAAGAGTTTCTCATATAGTAAACACTATATAATATATATATACATATATACATGTATATATACATATATATGTGTGTATATATATATATATACTAAATTACTACTACTACTTTTATTACTTTCAAATTACTCTTCAAAACACTTACCTCTGTGGTTTTTGTAGAAAATACAATTGTTGGCACAGGTATCAGGATGAGCATCCCAAAACTCAGGACCACAACAGCACAGTGGAGGTAAACGAATGTTACAGAGGAGCATTTTCTCTTGGATCTGGGCCCTTAAAGCTTCTACATACCTAGAAAAATACAGTCTTATCAGAGAAAGTGAGCTAGGAAAAGAGTGAGCATGTTCACAGAATGAACAGATCAGATTTTAACTGCTGCACTTTAACTGTTTTTAATGGCCAGCCTTTGTCTTTAACTTTAAAGGTGACGTGGTCCTACAATATTTAAAAGCATTCATCTGTCAACCAAAAGATTTGACCCCACCAACCTCCCCACAGGAGAAGGGAGAGGTACCTGCTACTGCAAAGATTTGCAGCCTTGGAAACCTTATGGACAGTTCCACAGGGAATCAACTCAAATCAGTGCCCTGATATCTGCTGGGAGGGTCTGCTGTCAGCTGGTTCCAACTCAACAGCAATGAGACAGAACAATTCTCTTGGGGGTATTAGGCAATCAAGAATCTGGTGAAGTTCTGTAAACCTCACTGAAGAAAAGTGTGAGAAGACACATTCAGCTGTTGTCTGAACAGGAAGTTGTGAGAAACACAGAGAACTCCACCTTCCACTACGTCTTCTCTAGAGCCAGAATTTCATGCAGAATTTGAAAAAGTACCTTCTGTTTTCCTTTTCTCTCTGTTTCCGTTGTTCTCTTTCTCCTTTTATTTCTTCCAGTTGTAGCTGGGCTAAGATCTCGCTCATCTTATCCCCTGAATACAGTTCATCAGGATCAGTCATTCTTTGGATCCTCTGTTCTTCAGCATAACGTTCCAGCTCTTTCTTCTTCTTAATTCTGGAAAGCATCACACTATTAAGAATATCTAAAATCATTACTCAGAATGAGCTTCTAGAATCTACAAAAGCAAGAGAACACTGGATCTCAAAGGCAAACAATCAAGTTACTTAAATCCACCTGCAAAATCAAAGCCCAGGAAAGAAATATAAAACACTAGTAACCAACAAAGAAATATTCACAATTACTGCCATCAGATCAAAAATTGATGGCCATGCAAAGAGGCAGGAAACACACTGCATATAGTATGAGGAGGAACAAATAAACTAATTAAAATCAACCTAACACTAACATGGTTGTTAGGAATGCCAATAGGCATCAGAAAAGGTAATGATGTTACATTCTCAAGCTAAACAGTTTAAAAATGAAAAAGACATGAAAGATAAAAAAATCTTGAAAGAAAATGAATGGCAATAACTACAATGTCTCAGATGAAAACTACACTGGATGGGGTTCACAGCAAATTAGATGCTGCAGAAGACCATTTTCAAGCAGAGCAATACATGAACCACACACAAAATGATCCAAAAGGTGCATACCTAAAGAGAGCCTCAGTGAATGTGGGATAACCTCAACTAAACTACAGGTCATTGGTGTCTGTGGAGGAGAAGGGTGAGGGGAAAAAAAAGGAAATGAAGAAATGGTTAAAAACTTTAGAAATTTATTAAAAATATAAGCTCACAGATGTAGGAAGCTATGCAAAACACCAAGAACCAAAAAGTATGAAGACCATTATATCAAGGCCTATCATAACCAAACTTGGAAGCAGGAGAGGCATCCACTTCCGTAAACAGCTTGCCTCCAGAAACCCTATGAACCTGGAGAAAGGATTAAAGTCACGCACGCAAGTGTTGAGGATTTTCATTTATAGGGTTGCTATGAGTCGCTTATGACTGGACAACACTTAACAACACACAACACAACATCATAACCAAATGACTCAAAACTGGAGAGAAGTTTTTAAAGCAATCTGAGAACAAAGAAATTCCATGGAGGGCAAAATGAAAGATAACATCAGACAATATATTTTTTCATGTTAACACAGGTATAGCTTGAGCTGCCTCCCTAGATCAATCACACCAGCACACTAGACTGGCCACACCAGGTCACTAGACCAGTCATGCCAATGCATAGACAGACCTTGCCAGTACACCAGATAGACCATGTCAGTGCATTAGACCAGACCAGCCCACCACATGGAGACCAGCTCAGGCTGTAGCCACCCTGCTGTCCTGTGCAGGAACACCAATACTACAGCTGAAGCCATTTCCTTCCTGAACACCACCGTGGTAATGCTGGCCTATCGCAGAGCCAGTACTTGATCTGTGGACTATTTGGACCTAGCCCAGGTGCAGCAGTTGCCTGGCTGAGAAGGCTGATAATTCACAGGTTGTCTCTGTTCCAAACGGAAACAAGCCTTCCCTTGAGACAAAGATCAGAAAAATTTGGGCAGATGCGCTGCTCTTCCCTCCTCTGGATCAGTGAATTCCTGAGCCAAATTTAGAAGAACCAAGGCCTTCCTAAGGTCCCAGGAATGAAAAACTCTACCATAGCAATGATATGGAAGAAGCGAACTAAATCACACCCTACAAAACCAAAAGAAGACATCACCCCAAAAAAGTGATTAAAACTTAGAACCAATGGATTTCCTGAAGCCGGAAGGTGTGATAGAACTCGCTGATACAGAATTGAAAAGAACAATGATTGAATATTCTCAATGGGTAAAAGATAAACTCGAAGAATTATAGTACTCAACAAGCAAAAGCCTAGTTGTCGTTATTGTTATGTGCTGTCCAGCCACTTGTCACTGATAGTGACCCTATATACAAAAGTTCTCAACTGTGCTCTATCTTGTGCCAACCTTACTGTCTGTGACACACCTATTCCCATCACCCCAGTCACTGAATCAATCCATCTCATTGAGGGTCTTCCTCGCTTGTGCTGTCCCTTACACTTCCAAACATGATGTCACTCTCCAAGGACTGGTCCCTCCTTGCAACATGTCCAAAGTATGTCAGACGAAGCTTCAGAATTCTTGCTTCCAAGGAGCAGCCTGGTTTTACTCTCTCCAGGACAAACCTGTTTGTTTTCCTAGAGTCCATGGTGTATTCAATACTCTTCTCCAGCACCACAACCCAAAGACATTAATTATCTTTCTATCATCCCTAGTAATTGTCCAGCTTTCTAACACATAGCAAGTAATTGTGAAGACTATACTCTGGATCAGGTGCACCTGAGTCTCCAGACTGACATCACTGCTCTTCAATATTCTGGAGAGGTCCCTGACAAACTTTCCTAATGCAATTCATCTTTTATTTCCTTGCTGCTGGTACCAAGAGTATTGGTTGTGGAGTCAAGCAAATTGAAGCTGTAAACAATTCCAATCTCTTCAATCATCTATCATGATGCTGCCATTTGGCCAAGTGGTGAGAATCTTCATTTTCTTGATATTGAGCTTCGATCCATATTTAAGCTTCAGTCCTTGACCTTCTGCAGCAGGTGCTTCAGGTCCTCCTCAGTTTCAGCAAGCAGGGTTGTATCAGCTGCATAAAGTAGTCTGTTGATGAATCTTTCTCCAATGATGATGCCACACTCCTCCTCACAGAGCCTAGCCTCTCAGATGATCTGTTTGGCATATGGATTAAAAATATATGGAGAAAGGATACATCCCTGGCATATGTCCTTCCTGATTTTGAATGTTTCCCTGCTTTGTTCTGTTGACTGTCTCCTGGTCTAAGTATAGGTTTTGTATAGGTGCAATTAAGTGGTCTGAGATTCCCATTCTTCTCAGAGTTAGCCACAGTTTGTAGTGATCCACACAGTCAAATGCCTTTGCACAGTCAATGAAACACTGATAGATATTCCTCTGGTACTGTCTGCTTTCAGCCAAGATCCATCTAACATTAGCTATAATATCCCTAGTACCACAGCCTGTTCTAAACCATTGAAAATACTTTTTATAAGAAACACAAAACAGGCTATACACATGGATAGTACGCATTGGAATCAGATCGAAAACATCTGTGGAAAGATTTACTGGAGAAGTTCAGTATCAACAGTTAAAATGAGGCAAGATTCTGACTGTGGAAAAGACCACCAACTATTCATAAGCAAGTTCAAGCTGAAGTTAAAGAAAATGAAATAAAATCCACAGGAACCAAAATCTGACCTTGAGTCTATCCCATTCAAATTTCAAAACCATCTCAGGAACAGATTTAAGGCCTGGAACACCAAAGAGAGAAGACCAGATGAGCTGTGGGAGGTTATGAAGAATATCAACCATGAAGAATGCAAAAGGTCATTACAAAGACAGAGGAGGTCAGATGAGACTCTGAATATTTCACTAGAGGGTCAAGAAGCCAAAGCAAAGGGAAGAAATCAAGAAGGAGTTGAACAGAAGATTTCAAAGGGCAGTTCGGGAAGACAAAGTAAAGTATTATAACGAAATGTGCAAAGAGCTGGAGTCAGAAAATCAAAAGGGCCAAACTCGCTTAGCATTTCTTAAGCTGAAGTAACTGAAGAACAAATTCAAGCCTCAAGTTGCAATACTTAAGGAAGCTTTGGACAGAAGAGTAAATGATCTGGGAAGCATAAAAAGAAGATAGAAAGTATACATTGTCACTGTACCAAAAGGAATTGGCTGAAACAGAAGAATTTCATGAAGTAACATAGGAGCAAGAGTCTGTGATGAGAAGTTCAAGCTGTTCTGAAAGAATTGGCAAAAGCAAGGCCCCAGGAATTGACAGCATATCAATTGCCATATTTCAACAAACAGATGCTGACCTGGGTGAGCTCACCAAGTTGTGCCAAGAAATCTGGATAACAACCATCTGGCCAACTGACTGGAAGAGATCCATATTTGCTCCCATTCCAAAGAAAGGTGACTTGAAAGAGTGTGGAAATTATCAAACAATATCATTAACATGACATGCACGCAAAATTCTGCTGAAAATTATCCAAAAGGACAAGAGGAATTTAAAAAAAAAAAACCCACACCAACACACCTGTCTAAGGCAATGCAAATAAAACAAACAAGGCATTAAAGGCTCTTGAAAAACAAGAAACCACAATCCAAAATATGAGCACCAAAGTTTCAGATGATGTCAACATGCTGGAGGGACATAGGAGCACAGGTGAAGAGATGGAACACAGAACCAGCGAAATAGAAGAATTCACAGGACTGATGTGCTAGAATAAAAAAAAGGAATGAAAAAGAAGAAAGCCTAAGAATAATGTGATACACCCTCCAAAAAACCCAAAACACAACAACCCAACAAAAACCCGAAACAAAAAAAAAAAATGCACATATTTGGAATTCCAGAACAGGAAGAAGCAAATAAAGGCACTGAGAAAGTTGTGGAAGAATTACTAGAAGAAAATTTTCCAGGCATAATGAAGAAACAGAGAATATACACACAAGAAGCTGAGTGAATTCCATATAGAACAAATCCCAAAAGAAAAACACCAAAGCATGTCATAGGCAAATTTGCCAGAACCAAAGATAAGGAAAGAATTCTAAAAGCAGCTAGAGAGAAACAAAGAGTAATTTATAAGAAAGAGCAAATAAGACTAAGTATCAGTTTCTCAGCAGAAACCATGAAAGCAAGAAGACAATGGAATGACCTATCTCAAACGCTCAAAAAATTATCAAGCAAGAATATTGTACCCAGCAAAACTACCAAATATGATGAATATTCTCAGAAAGGCAAAAGCTAGGGGAGTTTGTAAAAACAAGACCAGTATTTCAGGAAATACTGAGAGAAGTCCTTTTTAGAGAGATGCCACAGAGAAAGCACGATGGACCAAAGTAACCAGCAACAACAACAAAAAGAACTATACAAAATGATAACAATAAAACCTTGTCTCTCAATAATTACACTGAATGTGAACAGTTTAAATGCACCACTGAAGAGAGAAAGAGTGGTAGATCAGATTAAAAATAAAACCCATCAATATGCTGTCTACAACAGACACAGTTAAAAAATGAAAATAAAAGATTA